ATAGCGAAAAACCTCTCCAAAAAAAAAAAAAAAAAAAGAGAGAGAGAGAGAAAGGGAGAAAGCACCCCACCAATGGGGAATGGTTATGCCACAATCTTTTCTCTTCCACCTCTTCATCCTGTTAGGATTTGGGGCACACACACACAGCATGTTTTTGACGCCTTGGGGCCAGTATGAGAACCATGGTTGTTCATATGGGATCTGGCTCCCTTAACCAGCAGGCTACAAACACTGACACCCACCCCCCCATTTTGATAGCATGTGACACAGTTTAGAAAATCCCTTTGTATTTTTTTTTCCTCATTTACAAAATAACATATTTATTAAAGTCAAATTCATGTTTAAGTCGTGAGCTCCAACATGCCTCCCTACCCAGTCTCATGGGTATCCTCTATTGGAATTCACTCTTCCAGGTTAAGCATTTCTGCATCCCGTGGTATGAGTCAGTTCTTCCCATTCACTTTTCTTTAGGACAGGATGGACTTGGGGTATTGAGAGAATAGGAAAGGTGAGTCCAAAAAAAGTCCCAATGGGTACCAAAGACGAACTTCACCAATACCTCTATTTTCTATAGATATACCCCTGCTTGCTGTAGACTGAAAGAAATTTAGGTCCCATTATAGGATACTGTATTGATCAAGATTAACTTAGGTTCCAATGGCTTAAATAAGAGCATTTATTTCACTCTCTTACAAGTCTAGAAAAGACCATCCAGATTGAAGATCAGACTCAGTTTCCTTGTTGTCGCCCTACCATCCACAACTTCTTCTTTTGAACAAAGATGGCTGCTCAAATTCCAGCCATCATGTCCTCAGCACACCAGTGAAAAGGGAAGAAGGGCACAGCCCCTTCATTAATGGACATTTTCCAGAAGGACCCTACAACATTACAACATAACTGCCTGCCTTCCATTGGCCAGAACTTTGTCATATGACCACACTTCTCAATAGAAGCGTGGGAAATATAAATATATACTTCATTCCTGTGGTTGTGGGCTCCGTCAAAATTCAGGGGTCCATATAGTAAGGAAGAGGAGGGAGAAGGAATGTGGAGGGACAACTGGAAGACTTTACCCATCACGGATCAAATCCTGCTAAACTATCTTACTTGTCCGGGACCTGAGTTCTGAAATTGTTAGCTTGCTGAATTTCTTTTCGGGCCCATAAAAATCACAAATTAATCAATGTAATCAAACTTGAAGTTCATTTCCAAAGAAAAACTTTAGAGGACCAGCCCATGGCCTGGTAGTTAAGGTGGCTGGGTCCCACGTGGCTGGAGAAACACACCAGGCACCTTGTGTGCACATGCCAAAAGTTCTAAAAGGGGGGTGAGTTGGAAGAGAATCACGGCATGATCATTCCCCATGGGGTGTGTGGGAGGGTGCCTTCTCACGTTTCCTCCCTTCTGTGTCTTCCTCCAGTGAGTGCACACACCTTCGGCAAATTTTTTAAATTATTTTTAAAAACTTGAGACAGCTCGGATCCCATTCTGCATTCACCCACTAATGCTTCCTTGTAATTCCAGCGGAAATCCTAGAATTGGCTGGGAATGCTGCAAGAGACAACAAGAAGGCCCGGATAGCCCCAAGACACATCCTTCTGGCAGTTGCCAATGACGAGGAGCTCAACCAGGTACGTCTGAAGCATTGACACAAGCCACAGAACGGATTTGCCAAACACGCTGCTGCACTTGGGCCTGGTTGGTCATGAAGAGTTCCTGCTATCGTTCCCAATCACATTTATATGAAAAAAATTTAGACCATATATCTGAAGAACAAATTCTGCTAGCTTTATCATTCATATTCAAAATAAAATTTCCTCTGGAATAGATCCCTTTATATATTGTGGGTCCTGCCGCACTGTCCCCTTGGTCTTTAGAGACAAGTTCTGGGTGTCACTGAGAAAGGTGCAGACAGATTATTTTCTTCATGGCTTCTTCCCCCAACTTTGTGATTCATTCTAATAGGGCAGGAGAAATCTTTCTTTCTATGTTCAAACTGACTCTTCATGTCTGGAGCCATCCAAAGTCAAGTGAATGCTGCCCCTGTCCCCAGGATATGCAACGTGGTGGGTAAATAGTACAGCGTGGAAGAACTTTTGTTTCCATTTATTTCCATTTATATTTATTTTTCCAACCTTCTCAAACTGTCACAAAGGATCAGTTCTTATTGCCAATTCATCAGAGACTGATCTTCTCAAAAAATTTAACAAGTTAATTACTAGAAAAATTTAAAAGCGAAGACATACAAACCATAGGACACAGTTTTTCATTATCAGATCCAGTAGATAATAATTCTGTCAATGTGCTATAAAAGTTTCTGGACTCTGTCTTGCTATTTCTGTATGTCATCCATCACAGAGAGGTAACTCACAGTTCACAGATGAGCCACGGTCATAGATCACACCTGAAGTGGTGCCGCGTTAGGATGTGCAAACTTGGGTGGGCTCCATGGTCTAATTAAGGGAGCTGGATCCCACATGGCTTACCAAGCAGATCAAAACCCAGCCCCAATGGCTTGAAAAACATTCTGAATGAATATGTGTGCATACCCAAAATCCCAAAAGGATGGAGAAATAGAGAAGGGATTGTGGTAATACCATGCCCCTTGGGGGGTGCTTTCTCCTCTCTCTGGGTGTCTCTTTGTCTCTCTGGTGAGTGCACTTGGTCTCTCACAAATGAAAAGGATATGCAGAATACATTAGTTTAATAGTACATGCTGATTATTTACAAATAAGTAAACATATTGATTGGGAGGTGTGGGGTCAAGCACATTTTCCTGAGAGAATGCTCAGTTGTTCATTGGGTCCAGTCTTGGCATTGACCTTTGAACCTAATCCTGTTCAAGCTGAGTTTCCCACGTGTGAAGCTCTGTACCTCTGTTGTGTCTGGAATTCCACAGTCCTAGGAAACATCCTTGGTTTTGACTTCTATAACCCTTTTATTTTCTTTGCTTTGTTTTGCTTTCTGTACAAGGTCATAGAATGACTTGAGACCCACGGCAAAATGGTAACAGAGGGGAAGGTCAGTTAGACCGTATGCTCTGCAGTTTCTTTAGGAAAGCGATGACCAGATTTAAGACTTTTTTCCCCAACGGTTAGAACCATACTAAATCCAGAACCAGCAAGTTCTTTGCTGTACGTGCTCATGTGTGACTCTCTTTAGCTACTAAAAGGAGTGACCATCGCCAGCGGAGGCGTCCTGCCCAGAATTCACCCCGAACTGCTGGCTAAAAAGCGAGGGACCAAAGGCAAATCGGAAACTATCCTCTCCCCACCCCCAGAGAAAAGAGGAAGGAAAGCCACGTCAGGCAAGAAGGGTGGCAAGAAATCCAAGGCCGCCAAACCACGGACGTCCAAGAAGGTGAGCCAAGGCCACGTTTCAGGAGCCAGCACCATGCTGAGTGTTTGCGAATGTTGAAACCTAACCTGGTAATAAGAGGTAGGGTCTAAGATCAGCAGATGGTGTAATGGTTACGTTGCTGGACTTCCACGTAGTCAACTGCGGTTCGTGTCCCAGACCCAGAGGCTTAAAGCACGCTGGGTGTGTATGTGCACAGGCACAAAATCCTGAGAGGGGAGTGGAGGAGAAGGGACTGTGGCAAGGCCATTCCCCTGGGGGATGAATTTCACTTTCTGTCTCTCTCTGTCACTCTCTGTCTCTCTGGTAAGGGCACACACCCTGTAGCAAAAATCTTTCTCAAAACAAACAGACAAAAAAGAGGTGGGGCCTTTGGAAAGAGATCAGATCTGAATGGAATTAGCGTCTTTAGAAAAGAGGCCTAAGGGAGCCCGTTCGCATAGAGAACCTTTCAGGTCAGTAGACAGACGGCCTTAGCTATTTTTGCCACCCAGAAGGAAACAAGCCCTTATCAGACACAGACTCTGCCAGTGCCTTGATCTTGGACTTCCCAGCTTCTAGAATAAGTTTCTGTGGCTCATAAACCACCCAGTCTGCGGTCTTGTGTTAGAACAACCCAAAGAGACCAAGACACCCACAGATAAAGAGGGAAGTTTTAAGATGAGATGATGTGGGCGGGGGCTGGCAGGTGGCGTGGTGTTAAGGTGCTGGATTCCCACGTAGCGGATGATGGACCTGATGGCTTGCTTTGTCACTTTTTCTTTCTCTCTCTCCCTCTCTGGTCAAATTAAATAATAATAATAATAACAAATAAAAGTAAATAAATAAATAAATCTTTAGGGAAAAAAAGGAAAGAAAGAAATGATGTGGGCATAGCTGCCATATCCAAAGGTCTGAGGACTCTCTGCTGCTTGATGCCAGGAGGAAGTGACAAGCATGTGTATGTAGAAGAGTAAAGAGCCTTTGAGATTAGAGCTCAAGTTGTCAAATGGGGCCTACTAGGGCTTTCCAAACTCAAGGCATGGGTGATTTTCACATCCCTTTTCCTGTCCCCGCCAAAATCTTGAGGGCGAGATGACACCTGAAACCCTGCTTTTCATTTCCCTGTGTTGTATACTGGATGACCTCCAGTCTCCCATAGGTAGTCCCTATATTCAGCCGTGGACTGCCAGGTGTTCAGGATGCTTGGTATACTAAGTAGCCTAGCACAGAGGTGCCACTGGTGGAGCCATTTTTTCTTATGGTAGACTAACCATTAGTCACCTGTGGCTATTTAAATCTGCATTAAAATAAGCTCACACTAAAAATTCAGCTCCTCAATTGTACTGGCTGCATTTCTGGTGTTCAGCAGCACCGAAGATCACAAACATGGAACATTTTCGTGATCACAGAAAGTCGAATCAGACAATGCTACTTTAATTTTGTTATTTATTTATTTTAATACATGCACATACATGTGCATAACAGAGAAGGGGGTTGAAACATGCCTACCTGACATGTTTTTCAAGTTGGCCCAGGGCCAGGACTTGAACCCTTTGGCCATCTGGGATGCAAATTCGTCTGAACAATACTTAGCTGCTGCGCTATGGAGCCAACCCCCAATTCTAGTTTAAGATTTTCTTTTTTTTTTTAATTATTTTATTCAACTTTATTTATTTATTTTAATTTGACCACAGAGGGACAGAATGAGAGAGTAAGAGAGAGAGAGGAAAAGTGAGAAAGCAAGCCACCAGGTCCAAGACTTGAACCGTGGTCGGCCATGTGGGAGTCCAGTGCCCCAAGATAGGGGCCAGCAGGTGGTGTGGTGGTTAAGGGCACTGGACTCCCATATGGCCGACCACGGTTCAAGTCTTGGACCTGGTGGCTTGCTTTCTCACTTTTCTTCTCTTTCTCTCTCCACTCTGTCTCTCTCTAGTCAAATGAAAATAAGTATAATAAAATAATTCTTAAAAAAAAAAAAAAAGATTTTCATTCTACAAATCTCCATGAAAACACAAGAGATCACATGAGAGTTTATTCCAGGGCCAGCTCCATGCCTCATGATTAAGGAAGCTGGATCCCACATGGCTGACCATGGTTCAAGCCCCAGCCCCAGCAGCTTGAGAAACACTCCAGTTATGCGTGCATGCATACATGTCAAAAATGCTGACAGGATGGAGAAATGGAGGCGGAGGGATTGCAGCGTGATCACGCCCCATTGGGGAGTGCTTTATCCCTCTCTCTTTCTGTCTCTTTGTCTCTTTCAGTGAGTGCATGTACTTATCTGGCAATTTAAAAGGAAAAAAAAAGTTTACTCCACCGCACTATGCCCCAGGGAAGTCCTGGAGAGAAGGGAGGCAGCAACGTACTGTGCGCAACCCCACTTATCTCTGATGCTCTGAGTTGGTGCCATTGAAAAAAACCAGGATGGGGGAACCAGCAGTTAGCGTAATGGCTATGTCGCTGGACTCCCACGTAGTCGACCGCGGTTCGTGTCCCGGACCCGGTGGCTTAAAACTCATGCCGGGCGCGTGTGCGTGTGTGCCCAAGATCCCGAGAGGAGAATGGAGGAGAAGGGATTGCGGCGTGACCATCCCCCCTGGGGGGTGATTTCTCGCTTTCTGTCTCTATGTCTCTCTCTGTCTGGCGAGCGCACGCGCCCTACAGTGAAAATCTCTCCAAAAAAAAAAAAAAACCAGGATGGGACCAGCTGGTAGTGTAGTGGTTACAATGCTGGACTCCCACATGGCCAACCAGAGTTCAAGTCCCAGACCTGGCAGCTTGAAAATCATGCTGGGTACTTATGCATGTATGCCCAAGAGGAAAATGGAGGAGAAGGAATTGCAGCATGGCCATCCCTCCTGGGGGGGTGATTTCTCACTCTCCTTCTCTCTGTCTCTGTCTCTCTCTCTAGCAAGTGCACACACCCTATGGGAAAAAAATATCTTACAAAACAAGAAAAGAACAAGGATCATGTACCTGTGTGTGTGTGCACATGTGAACTCCTTTAAATATGCTTGAGTTTTTGCAGTACTCTTTTTTTCCCCTTATAGTTCTCTCTTGCTTACTTTCATCAAGAAACAGAAGAACATGACACCTAACCACTTGCTTTCATATCCAAGTTAGTGGCAGCTCTGGGAAGAGCTTAATAAAGCCACACGGTACTTTTTCTGGATTGTTTCTCATCTGTCCTTCTGATTTCTACCAACAGTCCAAAGCAAAGGACAGCGATAAAGAAGGGACTTCAAATTCCACCTCTGAAGATGGGCCGGGGGATGGGTTCACCATTCTGTCTTCGAAGAGCCTTGTTCTAGGGCAGAAGGTAATAAAGACGATTATTATGTGCTGTGGTAAAACATGATTGCATTTTTATAACCTACGGTTTACAAGCAATGATGTCTCCTTCTTCCCTCGTCTCCCTAATATAACTTTCACTCTTGTCCTGAATTATTCATTTTAAACCAAAAAGCTATGGTAGCTCCTGCATAGCTAGGGGAGCCAACTCCCTAATGCTGAAATCGTTAAATGCTAACAGTGGCCAGCCGAACATAAGCGTAGAGAATCTTTCTGGTCGGGATCAGCAGGTGGCGTAGCGTTTACGTCTGTAGATTCCCATGTAGTCAATAGCAGTTTGAATCCCAGACCTGGTGACTTAAAAGTCACACCGGGAGCATGTGCATGCATGCCCAAAATCCCGAGAGGAGAATGGAGAAGGGTTTGTGGCATGGCCTTCCCTCCTAGGGGGTAGTTTCTTGCTTTCTGTCTCTCCATCCCTCTCTGCCTCTCCAGCAAGTACACGTGCCTTATAGCAAAAATCTATCCCAAAAAAAGAGAATCTTTTTGGTCAGTAGATAAGATGGCATTACTGGTTTTGCTGGGAATTCTTCACTTTCCAGTTACTTTTCTGCTCACCAAACTAAATCCATAGCTAACTACCTCCAACAGCCTCTGTGAAATCGTCTTACATAATTCAATGTCATTTATCAAAGAAAGAAAATTAAAATCTATGTTTCCTGAATAGCCCTGGTGTTAGGAATGAATTATTTGCCAATAATTCAGTCTACTTGCCTTTCTGGGCTGCAAAAAGAAAACAAACAGGCTCTACGTTTGCAGTTTTCATCAATGCAACAGCAGTCCAGCCAGACATGCGAGTAATTCATTCCCACAGGTGTAAAGTGTACTGAGCAATTTATCTACCAGTCAACAGGGGCCTGGAATAAGATACACAAGGAAACAGTCAGTTAATCATCTCTGTGGTAGCTGAATGTTTACAGCCTGACAATAGATTGGATCTCTATTCAAGCCATTGAAAAGAGCACATTCTAAGAAGAGCATAAACGTGGCGAATTCCTAACTCATCACTGATAGAAGAGGATAGCAGCGAGGTGGAATGTATGTCCCTGCTAGGGGCTGTCCACGTTAGATGATCATTAGCTTCCTCCCACTCCTCCAGGGGCAACGTGAAGTTCATGCTCAGCTGGGGAAGTGATAGAGAACGCATGCTTTCCATGTATTCCGCTGTGAACATATGGGCCATGTTTCCCAAGGTGGATCCCAAGCCTGGAGGGAAAGGCAAGGTAGCCGAGGCAGGTCGGAATCCCAGAGTTCTCTCCAATAAGATCACTGGCTTCAGAACCCTGCCACACAAGTTCTGCTCTGTTCTGGAAAAGTGCAAGGTCCTGAGTGAAGAAGAGAGAGCAAGCCCTTGGCTGTCAAGGGATGCGTCACCGAAAACCAGGGCTGCCAGGATTGGGGACCAAAGGCCAAAAGGAAAAGAAAGAGGAGAGGCAGTCCAGTTCCTGACCCTGGACACAGGAGGAGGCAGATTCGTTGCCTGCTGCTAGCCTCAGAGGGAAAATTAAACCCACTGACCTCAGACGAGCCTATTAAAAACACACACCTGGTAAATGTGAGCCTATTACTCCACATGCAGCCTTTTTGTTGACATTCAATAGTAACAATTAAGGAAAATTAGCATATGTCGGGTAAAATATGAACATTTTCAGTGGGTTTGATGTTCCCCACATTCTCCATCTTTTCTTCCTGACACAGCTGTCCCTGACCCAGAGTGACATCAGCCATATTGGCTCCATGAGAGTGGAAGGCATCGTCCACCCAACCACAGCCGAAATTGACCTCAAGGAAGACATAGGTAAGGTCCTGAGACTGGGTGGAGGTGCTGTAGGATCGCCACTGTACAGCGAAGTCCACGTCACGTGTCCAGCCATTGCGGCTGGGTATCCCACTGCTTGGGATCTAGTGTCATACTCTCCTCATCTGTAATCGAATATCCGCCCTAGAGAGTAACTAATTGTGTTTAAAATTTCCACATACCTTTCTTTCTTTTTAAATAACTATTTTATTGAACTTTTTATTTCTTATTATAGCACTTTCCAGTTTGATGAGGGAGAGACACACAGAGAGAGAGAGGGAAAGTGAGAAAGCAAGCCACCAGCTCCAGGACTTGCACCGTGTTCGTGCATGTATGTCCAGTGCCCTTAACCACCACACCCACTACCAGTCCCAAAATCTCCACATATTTTTCTGAAATTTTTATTGTAGTATATGAAAACAGTGTAGAGCTTGATGCCTTTTTTCTCAAAATGAACACCATGGTGCAACCAGCACCTAGTTCACAAAGCAGACCCTTACCAGCGAAGTCCCCACACCCTCCGCCCAATCCTTAGTCCCACCAAGAGTAACCACGGTCATGGCTTCTAACAGCGTAGGAAGGGTTCATCTGTTCTGAATGTTTGATAAATGAAGTCGTGTGCCCTTCAGTGCCTGCCTCCTCTGGTTCAGCGTAGTGTTTGTCAAGGTCACCCATACTGCTGAGTGTGGGCGTGTGCTCTCCTTTTCTTCACTGCAGTACTGCACCATACGAACACAGCACAACGCATTGAGCCATTCTACCACCGATACCATTTGTACAGTTTCTGGTTCGGGCCTAATGTGTACTGCTGTAGTACAGTGGATTCAAAGGAAACGGACTTCTAGAAGAAATTAGGTTGTCTGGGAAGCTCTGACGCTGAGCTGTTTTACCAGAGGTTTGCTACCCGCCCCACAATGGTGGAGGAGCTTGGCGGGTAGGTTGTCAAGGAAATAACAGCATGCTAAACTGTCACCATCTCGAACAATTTTCCAAGACAGAACTACTTTAAACTCTCCATCAGAAAGGTGGAGTGTGCAAGGAGGGGCCTTGTCCCTGAGTACAGGCTTGCCTCTGCGCTAGGTGATAAAGCGGCCTAGGTGGTAGTCCCAGGGGCACCAGGCTGCTGAACTCACTCGTGGTCCCGTTTGCCTCAGAGGTTACCTGTGCTACAGAGGAGCAGGATGACACTGGGGGAAACAGTGCTAGAAACAGGACTTCTCTCGCACACAAGAGGCTGGGGAAATCGCTTCACACCCAGCCAGGCCCTGCCCTATGGCGGCTACCTCTCCTTGCTGTGGAAAAGCTCCCCCTGGTGGCCATAATATCGAGTTCTGTAGTCTTGTTTTGTTTTTTGACTTCCCTTGATCTTTTAGCAAGTCACAACAGAGCAAAGACAGAAATGACCGTCACAGAACAGATGGTGCCTAGAGAAGGGGATCTCTATCAGTGCCACTCAGGGAAAAAATCCTCAAAAACACAAGTTTTAGTAGCTATTTCTTCTTGAAAAGTTACCTGTTGTGGTGGCTGTCAGCTATGCTAAATGGCCTTATCTTCATTGCTTCTTTTTCCGTAGTGTTTGTCTATGGTTTTTATGGTTTGTTCTCTGTAGACTTACTGGTCTCCTTTCTGGTTAAGCTTTCATCATTTCCCCCTATTTGTTTATTATTTTCTCTTCAGGTTCCTGTACATTGCTTTCACTTTGCTTTCCAAATCATTGCTTCTTCCTCTACTTACTCTTAGCACTCTGGGTTCTTGTGACTGGACACACACATATTCTGTTTCTCCTTGATGCAACTATTCTAATGCCCTTCCTTTATGGCAGACTCCCTTCCATAGAGTACTTGCATAACCCATGGTCACTGTCTCCTCACTGTATCATTGAAACCCAAGCCCGTTAGTGAAGAAACCTCCTCCCCACCCACACACTCCCAGGGAGGAGCCACTGCTGGAATTGGCATTTGTCCAAAAGGACCCACACAAGGTATCATGGCCCTCCACGTCACTAGAGAGGGAGGAAGCTCCGCCACTCAGGCCCTAGGGAAGCCTCTGAACTGAGTGATGGTGATGGTGATAGTTGATAAAGAGAGAATGCTGAGCCCTACCACACATAGCTGGATCACCAGGTCTACTAGAAAGTGGAAACACGGGCCAGCAGATGGCTTAGGACTTAAGGTGGCAGGATCCCACACGGCCCACTGCATGATTGAGTCCCAGCTGCTCAAAAAAAAAAGCATGCAGGGCGCGTTTGCACGCCCAAAATTCCAAAAGGAAACAAGGAAGACAAGGAATTGTGGTGTAACCATCCCCATGGGGGTTCTCCCTCTCTCTCTCTCTCTCTCTCTCTCTCTCTCATGAGTGCATGCACCCTCTGGTAAATTAAACAAAAGAAAATGAAAACACCTGAGGAGAAATACCTCCTCTATGACTGAAAGCAGCCGCCATCCTTGTGTGTCATTGTGGAACCATGTGAGTGTGGGAGGAGGAGGCTAGATCCCTTGGTGCAAACGTGCAGGGCTCCTGCTGTGCTCAGGTGGGCCCTGCCGTCCCCTGGGGGTTCCACTGGGCCCTGCAGAAACAAGACCCTGAGGCAGTGTACAGAGAGTTGACCTGACTCAAGGACTCCTGGATCTCCCAAAAGGAGAGTCCTTCGAGGTTGGCTCTCAATTACCTGCACTTTTCCACTGAAAATTGAGGCCCAGCTTAGGGCAACAACATACTATGTTTCCCTAGACCTATCTCTGTCCTTTGACCCCCAACATGACTTGACTTACAATATGTTGGTGGCATGGAAGTGGGAACAGGACTTCAGAGCTATCAACCTGGGTGTGGAACTTGTAGGACAGAACACTGGAATCTCAGTTTTTTCGAAAATCATCTTTAGGACTCCTGTCATGAGATACTTTACTGTCAGATCACCACTTAAAGGTCCTTGTAACACAGCCTCTGTGGCACACTGGACTGCAGGGCTGGGAGCCACATGCCTACTGCCAGTCAAGACACCAGCCTGATCAGCCCAAGTGTGCACTGGGCATACATGCATGCGTGCCCCAGGTCCTGGCAGGCTGGGAGCCTGGAAGAAGGGGATGACAGCAGACTAAGCCCCATGAGGGCTGCTTCTGTCTTTCGTGCATGTGCACATGCTCTATCATGAATTTTTTAAAAACGTTCTTTTAGGGGCCGGTAGGTGGTGTGGTGGTTAGGGGGCGCTGGACTCCCACATGGCCAACCGCAGTTCAAATCCCAGACCTTGTGGTTTGTTTTCTCACTTTCCCTATCTCTCTCTCTCTCTCACTCTGTCCCTCTCTGGTCAAATTAAAATATAAATAAATAAATAGAGATGCAGCAGATGACACAATGGCTGCATCACTGGACTCCCATGTAGTAGACCGCGGTTCAAGTCCCGGACCCAGTGGCTTAAACTCATGCTGGGCATGTGTGCGTGCATGCCCAAGATCTTGACAGGAGAATGAAGAAGAAAGGATTGTGATGTGCCCATCCCCCCTGGGGGGGGTGATTTCACTTTCTGTCTCTCTGTCTTTCTGGTGAGTGCACACGCCCTATAACAAAAACCTCTCCAGAAAAAATTAATTAAATAAATAAATAAATAAAGTTAAGTAAAATTATTTTTTTAAATGATTCTTTTAAAAGCTTGCTAGTCAAGCTGCTCCATAGGCTAGTGGTTAAGGGAAGTGGATCACACATGGCCAGCCACAGTTCAAATCCCAGACCTAGTATCTTGAAACACCCTCTGGGTACATGTGTATGTATGCCCAAAATCCTGCCAGGAGAAAGCAATGAAGAAGGGACCACAGCATGACTACATACCATTAGGGAGACTTTCTTCCTCTCCCTCTCCCCATCTTTCTGTGTCCCTCTAGCATGTGCCTGTAACCTCTGGCAAAAAAAAAAAAAAAAAAAAACAAAAACAAGCAAACAAAACTTGTCCAACTGTATCGGATGGACAGAGGCCCAGAGAGCTCAGTAACCAGGGGCCCCTGGCAAATCAGGTTAATGACTGAGAAGCTGAATTCCTAGATTCTAAGAGAATTTGGGGGCTTTTTCCTCCTGGCCTCCTAACAATATGTTGAACAATATCATTACATTGAGAGAATCAGCATGACTGTTTCCCATTGTTCTTTACAGGTAAAGCCTTGGAAAAGGCAGGGGGGAAAGAGTTCTTGGAAACGGTAAAGGAGCTTCGCAAATCCCAAGGTCCTTTGGAAGTTGCTGAAGGTAAGTGTGGAATAGGCCCTGGTTACCAGCGTAACTTCACCACCATTCTCTCCCGGGCTCCGGCCTCACAAGCTTCATGCGTATTCAGTTTGTAAAAGAAAATATGCCATCACTAATCAGAGAGCTATTTTAGTATCTCTCAGATCATTGGAGCCGGCCCATGTGGATCAGTTTGTATGCCCTGGGGACTATAATATGTTTGATAGTCCAAGTTAACTTGCATCGAATCCCCCCAAAATGTTCTGCAGCCATTGGGTTAACTGTGTGTGTAGTAAAATAACACAAAATGTGCCACTGTCACGATTTTAAAGAGTGTAAGTCCGTGGCATTAAATGCTGTTCCGTGTTGCGCGGCCGTCGCTGGTTCTAGTCCCAGAGCTTCTCATCACCTCAGATGGAAGCCCCATTCCCATTAAGCTGCCATGCCCCCCCTCCAGCCCCTGAAACCATGAATCTACTTTCTGTCTCTGGATTTGACTATTCTAGACATTTCATATTTAAATGGCTTATATGACACGTGACCTTGTTGTGTCTGGCTTATTTCATTTAATGAAGGGTTTATTTTAAGAATGATTTATTTAGTTAGTTCCATTTGGGTTTTTTGTTGGTTTTGTCATTGTTGTTGTTGTTGTTTTTAATTTGACCAGAGAGGGACAGAGAGAGAGAGAAAGGAAAAGGGAGAAAGCAAGCTGCCATGTCCGGGACTCGAACCATGGTCGGCCATATGGGAGTCCAGCACCTTTAACCACCATGCCACCTACTGGCCCCTTAAGGAAGTTCGTTTTGAAGTTCATCCATGTTGCATGTTGTCACATGCAATGGCATCCCTCTCCTGTTTGTGGCCCGTTCTGTTTATTCCTCACCTGTTGATGGATGTCTTGGGTTGTTTTCATCTTTGGCTACAGTGAATAGCACTGCTATGAACATTTGTACACAAACTTCTGTTTGAACACCGGTGGTCAAGGTTATTGGGTGACGTGAATGAATGGATCCCACCCACACAGGCCCCACTCCACTGACTCACCGCACATGTAGTCAGGGCCAAGTGCTGCCCTAAGGCTTGGGCTTCAGAAATAAGTAAAACCAGGACCAGCAGTTAGCGTAATGGCTATGTCGCTGGACTCTCATGTAGTTGACCAGGGTTCGTGTCCCAGACCTGGTGGCTTAAAACTTACACTGGGCATGTGTGCGTGCATGCCCAAGTACCAAGAGGAGAATGGAGGAAAAGGGATTGCAGTGTGGCCATCCCCCCTGAGGGGTGATTTCTCGCTTTCTGTCTCTCTGGCGAGCACACACACCCTATAGCAAAAACCTCTCCCAAAAAAAAAAAAAAAAAGGAAATAAGTAAAACCCATTACTGTCCTCACGCGCATTAGTGGGGCACAGAGGAAGAGCCTTGCCCTCTGCTTGGGGAGCTGCAGTGCACTCCAGAAGGATAAGAGACACATTGAGGGGAACATGTGGGCAGTCAGGCCTTGTAGGGGAGAGGGTTCCGGCCGTGAGCGAGCCGGAGTGTTGGGTGGGAAGTAGGAGGAGAGAGATGGCATCCAGGAAGGGGACTGGACCCACAGCTGCACAGAGGGGTGTGAATCTGACCCTACATAGACAAGAGGGGCACCTCAAATCTTATGCAAGGACTGTCAGGACCAGCCAGTAGCACAGTGGTTAAGGCAGCTGAATCCCACACGGCCAACTGTGCAGTTCAAGTCCCAAACCCAGTGGCTTGGAAAGCACACCAGGCATGTGTCTATGCATGCTGCAAATCCCGAGAGGAGAATGGAGAAAGAGGGATCGTGGTATCAACAGCACCCCACACACACCCCAGGGAATGTGCTCTCACTTTGCTTCACATGCCCTATAGCAAAATTTTAAAAAAGAAGGAAAGAAAAGAAAATGGGAGCTGCCAGTCAAGAAAGGATAGGTCCACACTTTAAAGGTGACACAAATCGTTCCTCCACAGTACGGCCGTAATACGGTTTCTTTTTAAAGAAAAACGTTAAGACAGAGTCATACTCAATTATAAAATAAGTGTACATAGTGGGCAGAGATGGCAGAGCTGCATGAAGCAGTGACCACCCCAGGCCACAGGGTCCCAGGTCTGTCATATGCAGAGCCACCAGGAGGCCAGCGCTTATATGGTGGGAACCAGCCTCACCTCAAGGTAGGTAGGAACCAGAGCCAGGCCCACTGTTCGGCAAAAGGCTGGATAAAACTCCCTAGGCCATTATGCGAAGCCAAAGCTCTGACCACCACTCAGGCCTGCCTTCCAAGGGTGGCTGGCCTGGAGCCACATTCCCACTGATTCGGTTCTGTGTCTTGCCACCCATCACCGAGATGCCCTGAATCAGCTGTATAAGCCTGCATCTAGGCTGGGAGCACCCCCCGACACATTGTTTGACAAGGTGAGAAGGAAGAAAAATTGCTGTTCTACAGAGAATGAGAAGCTCCAGCACATTTCTAAATAGAGTTCCCAAGGCAGAAAATAGAAGGTTGAGAAGCAGTACTGAAGAGATCGTAGTTGAGAATGTTGCAGAATTAAACATGAGTCCTCAGGTTGAAAATATCAAGTGTAATAGATGCAAATAAATCCAAACCATAGCGCATTGTGATGGAGCTTTGGAAGTTCAGAAATCAAAAGGAACTTTCAAAGCAACCTGAGGGGAGAGGCAGATCATTTCTGAAAAAATGGCAGTTTTGATGACAGCAGAGTTCTCAGTAGCACCAAAAGATGCTTGGATACAGAAGAAATCTCTTCAAAGCACTCAGGAGAACAGGAAAACCCTGCCAACCAAGAAGTCTACATGTCGCTATATTCTCATTTAAGAGTGTGGATGAGGCCCAGCCTCAGTGGCACTGCATTACCACAAGGCTTTGCAATGCGGGAAGCCACGTGGAGGATAAGGGTTTGGTTCCCTGTCAACTTGTACCTGCTGGGTGTGTGCAGACATGCCTGGGATCCTGGCCAGCTGGGAGGGCACAGAGGGAACCCTGGCACGAGACCCTGTGGAAGATGCTTGTCTCTCTGTCTCATGAAATTAATAA